TTTATGAGCTAAAGCAGGTTAACCAACCTGACCTGCATGTTGTACACCACTATTCACAATTAAAATTCTGAACTTTTGCTTCTCGTCTGTAGAAGTGTCTTTTGTTTTCCATCACCAACCAACAACTTAAAAATCAACACCAACCATCAAGAGGAGACTTTCCAAGATATAAAGGGTTGTGACAGGGAAAAAGAAGCCATTTAAATGGTATCTAACAAATACACTGCATTTCACTAAGTATCCTGGGAAAAATATACTAAGTGCCATCAACTAGCTACCTCAAAGTGAAATCTTTCCAAGATTAAATGGAAGGACACAAATCTCAGCTGAATTCAGCTGAAAACCTGTGAAACTGATACACAAAATGCAATCCTCTTTTCAGGCAGCCAACACCCAGGTAATTCAAAGATATACAATTTAAAAACTATCAGGTATTTGTGTTATACTCTTCCACAGCTTTAAAAGAGAGGAAAGGATTTCAATTTGATCAGAATGAAAAAGTCACAAGAAGCTATAAGAAAAAGACCCCCAAGTTACTTCCCTTTAGTCAAAGGAATTCTTAATTACACTATTTATGAGCAAAACATATGAAGGTTACATTTTCAAGCTACCAAATTATGAGACAGCTTTTTTTATAAATACAGCACTATATGCTACACCATTCACCAAAATTTTGGAGAAAACAGCTCTTCTGAATTAAATGCCTAATACAGAGAACTTAGGGAACTAAAATATGAAATGAAGTTTATTTACATTAAATTCATAACATAAGGTATTTGTTTAGCAATGCTTAAAGAATGGAGAATTGGCTGCTGACAAGCTAACCAGCACATATTTACATCAATAAACACATTAGCTTTATAGCACCTTGCAGGTATAACAACTACATTAATCTCCCTCAAAGCGTTTCACAGACATTTTCCTAATTTTTTTTTTTTTTTTAAATCTGGTGCAATACAGAAAACATCAACTTAACATGGTTACTTTGGGTCAGTGAAATGGCTGAATAAAAAAATTTTAATTAAGTGTCTTAGAGCTAGAATAGTTATGCAAAACTCAAAGGAACATAGAGAGCTTTTTGCATAGCATCTGTAAACTAATACGCAATACCAGTCAACATACTTTCTCTTTCAGCACTGAATTAATAGGGAAAAACTAAAATGTAATGTAATTTCCAGGGAGACAATGGGCCAGGCTCCATCTAAGAACAGTCTTTTTGAGCTGCATTAAAACTGGAGTAAATCTTTTATTAAAGCAAAAATCATTCAAGTAATCATAAAACATACTTACCATTTTTTTTATTAGAGGCATATTAAGCATACATCAAAAAATACAGGATGCAACTAGACAAAATAAGTTCACAAGCCTCAAAAAATCAAACACTAATGAAAACAAAGAAAACAATCAGGTATAAAATTTGTCCTACACAAAAGTTTCTGAACAGTCTCTAACAACTACTGTGACAGTCTGTAGCCACAGTCTTTGGTGGAATATTAATATATCCTACAGCATAAAAAATAACTTCTTTCTACATGCCAGTATATAAATAGCAGTGTTTAATGCCTGCAGAAAAACTTTAAGATCTTTTATTTAAGGTTTTGCAGAATACTAAGCGTTACTCAAGATTCTTTATCATGACCTTCTGGCCGTAAAGCACCACAGAACATGATTTAACACCTATTGCCCAAGGTTTGTTCTTCTCTCTCTCTCCCCTTCCCCCATTTCCAGGAATAGAAAAGTAGACATGGTTTCACTAGACAAGTTTTCCTGTTTAAAATACATCACCCAAGACTTAGAACTCAGTATGTGCTGTTTGATCTGATTTTTTTTTTCCTGGTTTCAGTCATCCATTCTGTTAAATAAAAATTGAACCACAGGTATGCCAAAGTTTCTTTCCGTAACTGTACAAGGCAAACTGAGATGATGGCTGCACTTGAGGAAGCAACAAGTGACTGCATACTCACCGACCATAAAGTAATGATGATAACAGTTTCCCATTAAATGCAAATAATGAAGATAGCTTATGGGTAGCATATGACTTCCTTAAAAAGAAATGTTATCTAAACAATCCAAAACTATTATTCAAGCAAATATCTCTTGAGATGAGCAGAAATGGTGACTCTAGTATGGATACCAAGAATTACCTTTAAGTTACCAGTTTTTAGTAAGGCAATGAAAACTTGAGGTAAAGTGTCTTCCTAAGTACAAAAAGAGAAGTGTCACAGAGTAAGAACTACTGAAGACTGGATGGAAAAACAACTTCTAAATTACTCAGAAACAAACAAACTGAATTATGAGCAGTTATATTCCAATAACTCAAAATTCATTCAATGTAACTTGATCTTCTGGAGTGACTTCAACTGAAAGTACCAATGTAACTTATCTCTAGGAAACCTCCCAAATAACACGATAGGGATTAATATTCATAATTATGCAGTCTCCTACAGTGTTTAGTCAGCAAATGAATTACTTTATATAAGAAAAACTGTAATTAATTTTTCTCCTTCACAAAAATACCATGCCACTATTTTCCTGATATACTTGCCTATTTAAAGCTATGTGACAGTCTTGCTAGAACAATCTAGTTCTCTCTCACCTCTGCCTTTAGAAGGGCTACTAGATATTTGGGTGTTTTATACCTCATATTACCTTTTACATAATAATTCTCTACAATTTGGAAAAAAATGCTTAACATATTAAGTATCTCAGAATTTACATAAACGTCTGCCAAATACACAGATTTTTCAGTCTGAGTTTTATTTTCCAACTTTTCGCACCAGTAGGTGGCCAAATTTGTCCAAATTCTTATTATTAAAATGGTAAATGTTTTAAAAATTTAATTGCATAATAGAAGACAAACGTGAGGAATTTACAAGCAGGCATCATACAACTGGTTCCAGTTGAACTCAATCTTTTCCAACACCACATATAAGAGCATTATTCAAAATATATAATTTGCATGGAAGATAATCTATCAGATTAAAAATACTATAGAGGTTTCTCTGGGTTTAAACGCAGATGCATTCAGGAACTCCTTCAGTAACATACACATCAAGTTCCATAGCTGGTTAAATCCTTTAAACTGTCCTCATTGGGGTGCTGTATTTTATAACCTTCCACATGTATGTACATGAAGACATCAGACTAGTTAATCATACCTCAAGTTAATGATTTCACTAAAATCTTTAAAGCATAAATGAATATTGCAACTCATTGCTCTCAGCTTTTTCATGTGTCTTGCTATTTGAAGTTCTTAAAGTGACAGATCTCGAAGAGCTGTGACTGTAAACTGTTACACTTTTCTTTTTAAAAGACTTCTGAACCTGCATGAATGAAAATTAAGGTGTAATTAAAAATTTAAGTCATGTAACTCTTTAGAGTTTGAAGCAATTTTTGAGATTGATGTGGTTTATTTAGAGGCTCCAACAAGAAGCTGGATGGTCTCTAAATTTTCATACCCTTGCTGACTAGATTAATTTAACAGCTGAGCCCAGTTAACCTACGAGGACAGAGTAGACTTCAGTTACAAGCTGACAGCCCAGGAAAAAAAATATCTCTATGATCTGGAAAAGTTAGACCATCTTACCAACACACACAGCTACAAAAATGTTTATGCATAGGCACTTGGCTCATTTAATTTTCAAAAACAAAACCCAAACCCAACCACAGAAGTCTCAAATTCACAATTTTAAAATGAAATAGTTTTTGGGAACAGTCACTAAATATTTTTTAAAAAATGTGGGAAGACTATGCCCAAAGATTCAAGCTAAGCATAAAATTATGCACAAAGACAAAATTTTGTTGCAAATATTTACTCAAAAAAAGTAATTTACAGCAGTGCTTTAACAGCTGTTCAAAACATTTAACATTCATTAGAAACAAAACTAAGTCAAAAGCACATTCTAAATGTTTCAAATGGAGCAAGGAAGTCATAAGAACAAGCTACTATTAATCATATGCATTCCTAGCTGCTAACTAGAAGCCAAAAAAAAAAAAAATCAATCAAAAAACCAAACCAAAACGAGCAGCCATCTCTCTGTACACAATTTAGACTATAAAAAGTCCCGAAATTGAATTGTACAATTCTACTTTATATGCCCTTGTGTCCTTTTTGTAGCAGTTAGCCAGCAGCAGCTGCAAAATGGCAGAATGCGTGCCAGTTGGTGTTTCCAGTTTGGGGTTTTCCTTCTTTTTGCTTAAAACAGTTTTTACATTAAACCATACTTTGGTGTGACTTACAGACCATTCCTACAGGTCTATGGCTAAGAATAATTAAAACAATGGCAAAAGCCTAACAACTACAGTACTTTCAGCAGTATGTTCTACTTCATACAATTATGTTCGGTATTTCTGCACAGCCTGCACACTGAAAACCCCACAAATATATCTTTTTATTGTAATAATTCCACTTTCACTGAAAGTTTATTAAGGTAAGCTTACAGCCTGGCAGGATTACACCTGTACAGAGGTGCATAGATTCATATAATTCTGTTTACATGCTTTTACAGACAGGAATGTGACATTAAGTCCAAAGGGATATGTTTACCCAAGTTATCAGCAAACCAATAACCCTCATTACAAGTGTGCTCCATTTCAGGATCAGAAGTGAATTCATACTAAATTCCACTGTTTAATGATATTCACACTGAAGGATTAAAAAAAAATATTTTCTTGGCAAACAAATCACCTTATCCCGGGCTAGTTAACTATAAAATTAGAATTTATTCCTCCCTTCAAATGTCAATCTTATAAGAAATATCACATCCAAGAGACAGGAAGATACATTTGAACATGTTACCTTTTGTAAACTTAGTTAATTCAGTTGTACACACACATACATGCTATCTTCATATGCAAAACTTCCCTTTAGTGTCTCTTTCTCTCCTCCCTCTCCCTCCCCTTTTTTATTTTTAATAATTAGCATCAATGAGCACACTCATCAGGAATGGTCCATTGTGTTCTTACCATTGTTTGTAACAAACAATAAAATTAACATAATTTCAGCTTGCTTCATTTTCATCTGTCTTGTTTACAGTTGTTTCCATTCTGTTGGGACTGCTTTCTTTTGAAGTCTCATCTGTTTGTTCTGAGAGTTGTCCAGCTTTCTTTGATGAAGGTGCAACATTACCTTTTTGAAGAATTTCAGTAGCTTCATGCTCTAGTACCTCTGATGGAGTCAAAGGCTCCAAATGAATACTGCCTTGCTCACTAATGTCTGAACTAACAGATTCAGGTTCATCTCTTTTTCTCAAGAACTGCTCAAAACTAACATCTTCACCCAATGTTAGTTTTAAGTCCCTTGCGTTCATTGCTGAAAGTGTAGTTTCATCCAAGCTATGTACTTTAGTCTGCTCATTCAAGATAACATTCTCTGAACTTTGGCAAGTTTTCAACTCATTATCATCATTAATACATTTTTGTTTCTCATCTACTGATTGTTTGCTATTATCTGAATCACAACATGCTCCCTTCTCATGCAAAGAATTCTTTGAGCTGTTGTTAGGGAGTTCCAAACCAGGAACATTTTCTGTATTTGACAACGATGAGTTTTCTTCATTCTTTTCAACTGATGCAACTTTTTTAGATTGATTTCTATTGCATTCTTTCTTTTCGTCTGAAGAATCATGCTCTTGTTTGCTGAAAAAAACCAAAACAAAATATTTTTACAACTAATGAAATAAAGCAACACAAGGCTGTACTCTGCAAAGTGACACAGAGTGGTATTGCAGATTTCCTATTTGGTATTTCTCATTTGCATAGCAAGATGGGCTGAATTTAATTAAGAGCTGCATTTTTCTTACTTATTTACAAACTCGGTTTTGTATTTAGCAGTCAATTAGTACTCTTTAGTTCCTGCATTTCATCTCCAGAAAGGAAGGTTAAGTTGTTCCTTTTGTGCATCACATGGAATTTGCCAAAATACAATGTTAAATTCCTCTACCCTCACAGCTGCTTTGACACAGATGCAACTACTTGGATACTTTGTTGATCATGTACAAGAAAAAGAAGCCAGTTTGTACCTTTATACCATCAAATTGACTCTGCAATACTAATGATAGTCAAGTGAAGAAAAAAAAGATCTAAGTTGGAAATTAAATCTAAAATTTAGTTGAGCAACTACAAATTTGGATTGACTGAAAAAGTGAATCAGTGAAAGAGCATTTTCAGCCACTTTTCAGAGTAGAACTGCATGTTTATAAAAAGGAAATATAGATCAGTACTGAATTACACAGTAATCTTATTGTATAATTAAATCTAAATCACAGAGTATGAACTTTGTAGACAAACTGGTTGTTTAAACCTTGTATTATTTCAATAAAGCCACATGCATGCAGTGCTTTATGGTGACCAGGAAAAAAAAACAAACCAGAATGCTCCAAAAAAAGACTGAACTGTACACTTCAAATGCCACCTGTACCCACAAAAATACAAGACAGTCTGGTCACATGCAATCTATTATGCTACATGTAATTTGCTCATGAGTTCATATTCCAACAGAGTCCTAAATACTAGTGTCTAATATTTCTCTTCATTTTTTATAGGAACACCAGCTTCTCCCATCCTTTGCTCTAAAAATTTAAGTTTGGTATAAGTTTAATATAATTTCTGACCCATTCAAAATTTTTTGAGAATGATTAGTAGCTTAAATTACCTAAAATGATGATGGTGACAGACAAAATAAAGCAGAGGGGGGGAAGATGGAAGAATAACAGTTGGTCTGATTTAAAATATAAATTCTATATAGGAAGTGAAATTAGGTGAAAATGTCTCCCAAATTAACTTTTAAAACTTAAAACTTAATTGGAAATAGTCTCTGAACAGTGACATTCCAACAAATGATGTGAGAAAGATAATATCACCAAATACCTCATTAATCAAAATGCATTTGTACTTTCTTTCTTCAAATAGTTTTAAAAATGGCTTCGAGTAATTTTTGGCTAAAACCACTTTTAACATTACCTAAGCAACAGGCAGTTCCAGGACTCTTAAAAGGAATAACTGATTTCCTGCTAGGTTTTTATGATATATTTTCAAGCTGAAAGTCTAGACATGTTGTTCTACTGATGCAGGAATTCATGTGACTGGGCTATATGTTAAATCATACTGAGTTCTACAGAAAATGGTTATTCTGGAAAAGGTGCTACATACTACAAACATTCAGAAATCTATTTATTTTCACGTAAAGAAACTAATCAAGAATATCCATTTCCTACTTCGAATTCAAGTTGGAGGAATATTTTGACTAGGGATAAGAGACTGCTGACATATCCCTGAAGGGTGAAATCTTGCTGATCACTGAGGTAGTCGTAAGAATCTTTCCATCCTGTTACACTGATTTTTCATTCATAATAAGGAATTATATCAAGAGATAGGTCAATCTCTAACAATTTACAACCTACTTGTGTCAAACAAAGGCGTTTTTTATTGGACTATTGAAACCAGTAAATTACATGCTCGAACATACAAGCAGATTTTCTATCCAAGTTTTTCTCCTCTCTCTCAAACTTCTAGAAAAAAGGCAAAAAAGGGTAATATTTGAGGGAAAACTCAAGACTAAGTTCCAGCACAAAAGCCAACACTCAGAACCATCTGCCAGCTGTGGACAACATAACTGGTCTTGCCATAACTGTTCCTAATTACCCCATCTATTCCAGAGAAACAGTTAAGGTATACCGAGCCATATAACTGCCAGTAATAGTTACAATTGTTCTCACCTGAAAATCCAGTCAACTCTTGATGAAACTGTGCATATACATAACCTTTAGCTACTACTTTTCAACAAGCAACTTGAGAGTGAGGTGGAGTTGTAGAGTTAACAAGCACAGTATTATGCTTTCTGTGGGAAGTTTTGAACACAGATATGCAAAAAAAAATAGTTTAAATAAAGGGATGACTAATGCTTCATTAGCACAAACAGAGCAGTGTTTCCACCCTGGAAATCCCAGATGGATTACATATATGTACTCAAACACACAATTTACGCTGAGAAACTCAGGAGAAATCTGCCCTTAAAATATAAAAAAGGTATCCATCACCATCTCCCTCACCTTCTAGTAACCAAAATCCCAGCTTCGTCCAAACCCAGCCTCTCATTCTCACTCATTTTTGGCAAAACACAGGAAGGGAGGGAGAGGAAGTGGGGTGGAAGAAAAAAAACTTCATTTCTCATGCAGAAACATGCTGTCTTTCGTCAGCATGCCTTCCCATGAGTCATTTATACCAATAAAACAGAGTACAAAAATAAAATTAAGTTCTTGCACAACAATCACCATCACTAAAACAATTACCTGCAAAGATTAGTGATCTTTTAGATCACTAAGCACAACAGTAAGTTAACTTAGATACAACAGTTCTCAAATTAAATAATTTACCTCTGTTTAGAGCTGCAGATGAATAAACAAAACCTAGCAATTGTGACACACTAAAATCCCACAATAAAAAGAAAAATCCTATAGGATTCCACGAAATCATCCTGTTAACAAGTCAGTAGCTGAAAAAGAACAGCCTGCCATCCAATACTAGGAATGAAATGTACTCTTACTATTCTACATGCAAACAATGCCGCTTGTGGTGTAAGAAATCTAAATATTGAGACAGCAAAAAGACCAGAAAATGTGAGAATTTAATATTTCTATCATACAGAAAAGAGGATTTCAGTGAAAAGTTAAAATGTAAAATCTGGCTTTTGTTTAATGAATACAATGAACCCATTTTCTAAAACATGATCCCAACTGTGGCTAGACTATCACATATAGGCGATACTGATGGATTAGCTGCCATATAGTCTACATGAAGTCAGGTTTTAGACTAAGAATACTTGAAGGGAGTAGCATAAAGACAAAATTTTGAATCCAAGAAGTAAGTCTACCAGGTGCAAACATACACCCATCCCAACCTACAGAAGCCTAGAAATTAAAGGGTGGGTTTTTTTTTCTTTTTCTCGTTGTATAGAAAGGATTTGGGTGCCAAGTGAGGCTGAAGGAAGCTAGGCTCTGGATATTTGTGGTTTTAAAATCCTACTACCTCAATTTTTAATTTTTTTTTTATGCTCTTTGCTATGCACATTCACTTACCTTTATTTAGAGTATTTTATTATTTATATTGGTATTTTAAGATTTTAAAAATAATTCAAGGAAAAATTCTACAGCATGAAAAAAAATCATACAACTTCAGAACAAAACTATAAACAAGTGACAATTACACACCTACATACAGAGTAGTTGCAAAGTATTGTGCGAACACACCTTCAGTCTGTGGAAAATTATTTCTGGGTAACAAAACCTGTATTACAGCTGCATTTCCGTTAACAGTTTGGTGTGAACCACCACCATGGTTTTGAGCCACAGTGCTTGATCGTTCACACATACTGGTTTGGTTTACAGAACAGTCCTGGGGTATACAAACTAAGATTTCTTTTTGAGGAAAATGAACTGGAAGCTGTGATTCACAAGTTCTCCAACTCCAAATAGAGCTGGGTCCTCAGTCCAAACCAACAACTTCTGTTCCACACAGCTCTGAGTGTGTGCACAGTACGGGCATTCTGTCCAGGGAACACAAATCTGGTCTAAAATAACACCTCTGAACGACAGTGCGGTGAAAACGCAGGATTCTCAAAAGCAGCTGCTTTCATGCACTCATCTGCTCCTGCAGCACTAACTAATGGCTAATATCAACACAACTGCCTTGGCTTAATAACAGAGAAAAGTGTTCGAGAACCGAGAATCTCTGGTGCTAGAGCTACAATACTCCAGATGTCGGTCTTAAAGCCCATGAAGTAGTTATCAAATGAAGTTTTAACAGAAAACACAGAACAGATTTATTAAAATTATTTTTGTCTACTTAAAACACAAGGAGAGGAGAAAGTAGTACATCATATTCAATTAGAATTACAGTGACTGTTTACTAATCCATAGTTTAAAGACACAGTTAGCTTCTAATTCCTGAACCATTTAGTCTCAATTCTTAGGCAAGCATTTTAAGTGAAAGTAAATTTCAAATTATTTGGCCCACACTGCATATGGCCAGAATACAGACAGATAAATCAGAAGAAAAGTAACCTACTGAAAGACTCCCAAAACAGTTTGCCTTTTTTTTTTTAAAGGCATTATAAATACACATATAACAAGTAACTATAATTATGTTTTGACTGAGCTTTTAGAGGTTAAATTTGCACCAACAATTGTGACAGATCACTAACTGAAATAAGACATTTCAGGCTGTGGGATCTGGAATAATAATTTAGATGAATTCTATGAAGTATAAGTCTACCCAAAATATGTGCCAAAAGAAACGGATGAGTTTTCAATTATTACCCCAGGCTGACAGAAAAATTCCACAATTTTACATATTTTAAGTGTAGAGCTATAATTGTTGGTTACTCAACAATTTCACACATTTGCTACAAATCTGTTTGAGTATGCTTCTCACAAATGACACAGGTTTTTATCCAAGAATTAACATTTTATACTGTTTTTTAAATTGTTTCTCAATTGTCCCAGTAATACTGTTAACTCCTATGCAATATTATAAAAAAATGCCTCTTTTAGCAATCTGTACAATTTATTTAATGCCATACGAATCTTGATTAATTTGCAGTTTACACATTACTGAGAATGGGTTCTGACACTTGGAACCGAAATTCTACATATCTTGTTGGGTAAGTACATTACAACCACCATTCAAAAATTTCTATCATAGAAAACACACATTATGAAAACACTAATTAAATACTTTTGCCCAATTACCTGAGAAATAACACAGCATGTGTTATTTTATGTACCTGCTTTCAAGATGCAGCTGATCATTGTATTTACCTTTCAAAAGTTGGTGTTTCTGTTTTTCCTTCAGATATACTAGGTCTTGAAATTTTCTGCAATAATTAATTATATTTCTTTTATTTGACATTCACGAGCAACTGATCACAACATAAAGCTATAGAAATAATTCCACACTGAAATCCCCATAAATCTTCTGTGTAGCAGAGACTGAGCGTGGATATCGGTATAGATGTGTGCAAATAGTCTTCCAAGTTAAAAAAAAAATCAAAACCAAGAACACCCCTAAAAACACAACAGAAAAAGTAAAACTTCAAAGCAACTCTTGTAGCCTTTTTCATACACATAATTTCAATTATGCCTTACTGGATAGGATGTAAACTAAGTCTGGACAGCTTTTTATTTGAAAGGGAAAAAAAGAAGTCTGACCTAAACTGGCATTTTCCTAGCAAGGAAAAAAAGGCGAAATGAGGAAAGGAAAAGCAAAAAAGACAAAATTGAGGTGAGTCTGTTTTTTAAGCATTACACAATGTTTTAGCCCTACAGATGCTATTACATTAAGTAAAAGGAAAATTCTTAATAAAATGCTTGTCACAGAAGAAACTTTTGAGCCTCTATTAAAACTTAGGCAATTAAACAACTTTTTCACTCAACATGAACAAAGCCAATTTCCTCCCCCACTTTTTTAAAAGAGTAGAAAAGGAAGTGACTGAAAAGTACCATTTGGAAACAGCCACACCAGTCTTCTAAAAACATCTCCTATGCTACAGGGCATCTTACTCATGGAATTTTTGTTCTCATTAGGAAATTTTAAGTGCCTAAGCAACAAAATTAAGAAAGTAAACTTTTTTTCCCAGTCTGAATACAACAATAACTTAATTTTGAGTTTAAAGTAGAAAAGGTCACTGCACATAGAGAAAGACTAAGATTTTAAATTATTGTTGGTATCACAACCTCTTAAATATTTAAAACTGTGTAAACACTGTTACATACTTTTACCATAGCTTTTTTTTCCTCGTCACAGAGGTTGTGTATTTTGTTTCAATGAGGCCAAATTATGCAGCAAGTATTTTAAAAATGTATGGTAAAGTTAAGTGTATTCCATCTTCTAAAACACCCTTTGCTACACTTCTATCGTACTTTAGTATATTTCTGTTATACAAACCCCATAAACATATGACCCACACCAAGAAACACTTTCTGACTTAAAATTACTGTGCTCGTCTTCCTATTACAGAACCTCCTTCCCCATCCACCATCCTCCTCTGCCCTGGCTGACCATATTCACCCTGGGAACTACCAGGGAAGCAAGGTTTTCTGACTTATCTCTCCAAGTCTTACATGCTATGTTTTTAAACAACTTGATTCATCAATTTGTATTTTTGGTTCTTCAGCACTCTTCTTCAGGATCTTTCTGTCCTTTGACCTTCTGCTGTTTATTTCAGCAAACAGCCTTTAAAACATCAAGCATCTGGCTGCAGTGAAGTAACAGCCATTCCATGGCACCTTGGAAAAAACAACCAGAGGTACCTCATGGCCCAGACCACCCCGAACGGCAGCTCACTGTTCTGAAAGGTCTTGGCTCAGATGTCCTGTAAGTTCAGACAGCTAACACTGAAGTAGCCTATTCTGTCTGTATTCTCCATCCTTTCTGACTCTAAGGGCTAGCTGGTGTGGGTTACGGTTTTTCTTTGTTTGGGTTTGGGGAGGATGTTGCATTTTTTATTTTATTTTGAAACGAAAGCCAATATTATGGAACACAATCTTGTGGAGCAAAAAGCAAATTCACGTCTTCTATAATGCTGAAACACAATATGGGATGAAAAAAAAAAAAAAAAGAAAAACTAAGACAAAACACACCTGAAGTGGTAATGTCTTCTCACATTCTACAAAATCATTGCTTCTGTCATAAAAACCTCGGCAACCCTTTTACATTTAGGAAAACAGGCAAGCATGTTATAAGAAAAATCTTTACTAGGTCTGAGGACTTCTCCCACTCTCTTACCAGCTGGGATTTCTGTAAGAGATTGCCCTTTTTGAAGGGCAACAGAAAGACAACTTCTTACAGAATAAAATTATGTAAAATCAGAATCCAAAGATATTTTTGAAAAAAGTTAAGAGGACACACTGTGAGATCATTTAGCTTCCTGACAGGCAGAAAGCAGAGAAAAAATTGTACACATGCCTAAAGAAAAAAAAGTCAGGCCTGAAGAGGCATTTCCAAAGATTCTCCTCTCTAAAGAGATACAAATAATAATAAAAACCCTCTGTAAGTTACAGTACAGAGTTATTATTTACCCACATTTCGCATTATATTTCAGGTCAACTTCCAGGTTTCCTGAAAATGAAGATACATAAGGCAACTAAACCATTCCTTCACTGGAGCCTAGCATGCAAATCAACCAGAACGGACTGACTGCAAAGTGGAAATCTTTGGGTGTAGCAGAGATACCGAAGGTGACCCTCCAACACTGCCACATCTTTTAGTAGTAAACCACAGAAAGCTACATATTTGCACTCTGCGTATCTTCTGAACACCATGACCCAGTAGTACACAAATAGTTAATTGCCTTGGATCTTCACATTAGTTACAAAGTTCAGAGGTATTGTTAGACTGTGTGGAGAAAACGAAACACATTACCTCCAACTTAGCTTCTCTCTCTCTAAGGGAGATTTCAGTCTTTAACCTAGTGGATAATGAATTAAGATTGAATGTATAGTTCACACAGAGATAAGGATGAAGATACTTACAGTAAGAAAGCAACTTGGTAATACAAAATCAATTTTTAAAGTTGATATTATTTTCAGCTTAAATGTACTTCAGAGATCCAGAAGAGCTTTTCAGAATTTTAAAGTGTTTTATTGGGCATACAGAAACTGGAAAATAAACTTGTTCCATGAAGCCTCTTCCACTTATCTCTCCTCATGAAAACCAGGAAGCAAAACTCTTAAGATGGTTAGCAATACTTTTATTCTAGCGCTTACTGCAATTCAGCATGATGAATAATCTCCTCACCATAAAGACCATGTAAACCATAACTGAAGTATTTAAGATCTGAAATGACAGATTTGGTGAAATGCACTTTTTAAAAGTGCATAAAGCTACATGACGAACCAACAAAAACATTCTGCAAAACAAGGTCAGTTTTCTTTTAATTGTTTCCCATAACCCAAATACCCAGAGCACAGCTGGAGTTTACTTTAGGGCAACTGTAAAACATTGCAACTGACCTCCAGCTACTATTTGGAGGAGATACTCCCCTCAAAATACCTTCACAGACAAAGTCCATACATTAGATGAGCTATAAATTATTTAAATTTATTGACTTTTAAAACCACATTAATTAAACAGCTTATCACAAGATCACCAACATTGATTTTTCTGTGTTTATACAAGAAAATGCTATTGCAGAGATAGCAAGCAGCATGTCTCCTCAAAACCTTGTTAAGTCATCAGTTCTAATATAAAATCTAACCTTTCAAAGGTTTCCTATAAAACAAAGAAAAACTGAACAAAACCCTTAAAATTGCTTATGCCTGTATCTTCTTTGTTGATGCTGCACTAAAGGAAGATGTAATCTGCTGATGTATGGTGCTGCCTCTGGTATATTTAAATCATGTTATTAATCATAAATTGATTCACGACCTCAGCGACTCTTAATGGCTGTCTACAAGGTACAAAATACTTGACAGAAGAAATAGCTTTATCAACTTAATTTTATGAAAAATGTATACTAATATTAGATTGATATGTACCACATGTATTTTCCTAATTTAATCTATGCAAGCAGTGCTAAACCCAGACCTTTTAAAGAATTTTAGCATATACCATAAACCATAATGTTCTAGCAGGTAACCAACAACTTGGACTGTAGTATTAACAACCATTTATAACTATTTTAATTATTACATCTTAATTTGCAGGAAAAGATGGCAAAAATAACTACAGAAAAAGGACTGTTTTAAAATCACATTGCTACAATAGCATTGTAACCATGCTCACCTAATTAACAGTAAGAAAAGTGATCGGGATAAATCAAGTGACAACACATTCTTTGGGTCAGGGACTTGAAATTCTCTAGGTATTTAATCACGAGTAGCAAGACCAGTAAAAGATGATGCAACACCAACTATTTAACTTCATGCTTTAATGATTTCTATGCAAGAACTTAAAACAAATATGTTGGAAACAGTAATTTGTCCAAAACCAGTCACTCTTGAGATAGCAAAACAATTTAGACACAAATCAGATATTATATATCCAATGACAAAACATACCGATGTTCTTGTCTGAAAAATGTAAGTTTTGCCACCAAAATAAGTGTGTGTGAGTTGGATCCAATACCTGTAGGTTGTTTTAAATACGTTACGAACATTATTTTGCACCATCACATTCTGATAGTTTTCTGCAGTCATGTTTTATAGCTCAAAAACCAGATTCTAACTGGCTAGTTTATGCTGTTTTAGAAGTGAACAGGGTTTATAAAACTTTGTGATAACCACATCTTTGTTAATGTGGTTTACCTTGGATTCCCAACATATATTCTCAACCTTAATTCTGTTTCCAAATAGGTTTTAGAAAGTAGTTCCTTCTAATTTGTAATTAGGAGAAATTTCATATATGGATAGTAAACCGTAGAAGACTATCACCTTGTGGTGTTCTCAACAGTTTTACGAGATGAGAAATCTGAAATCCCATAGTTCTCCAACAGCAGCAAAGGCAACATACTTTCTTACATCTGTGGAGCTACAGTGCCTCTGGAAAGAACATTATGAAAATAAAAAAAAAAGATCACGACCATCTCCAGTAAGTACAGCCTGCTGGTCCACAACTAAGAGCAATTTTGAAACCTCTCTAGAACTCTCCAAAGATTCTTTATTCTACATAAAAATAAACTTCTAGTTACGAACAATGAAAAAAATGCCCCTTAATTGCCAATCTCTTAAAAAAAATGCCCCCAAAATGTAGCAGCTGAGCACAAAATTTCAGCTTGACTGAGATACTCAAAAGAATGGAGGGGCAATAAAACCAAAGAGACTCAGAATAAAAGCCAATTAAGTAAGAACATTAATTTATACACTTAAAGTCTAAATTCAGGTTGAGCTGAAACTTTATTCAATACATGAGGAGACACCTCGGATCAATGGAAGAGAGTTGGAGTCACTGAACCAAGCAAACTCTAAAATGCACAGTCCAAGCACAGCTGGGAGTATTCTCATTTCTGAAATTCATACAGTCTCCCTGCTTCTCCTGCTCTCACATAATAAAATTATGCATATTTGCGCACACACAGAGCTCAAATCATAAGCAACTGTCTTCCCAGCAATCTGCCATGTTTTCTTACAACCAAACAGTTACTCCCACGGCTTCTTGGGTAAGCAGCACTGAAACTCTGCTGGCATCTTTTGCCAAACATTTTTTTTTTTTTTTGTCTACCCCTAACCAAAAGTAATCTTTCTAGGATGACTGTAGCTTCAAGAATTTACAGAAAACAACTTTAGGTTATTTAAGTGGCTCAAGATATCTTCCAGACACTCGACTGAGCCATACCCAGTGTTATAATTCTATTTTACTACCAATGGAAGGGTCTTCGGGGTTTGTGGTTGAGGTTTTTTTAAATTTTTTTTAAGAACTCTAGCTTTTAGCAGAAATTCCCTATTTTGAAAAATGTAACTCTTAGTAGAGATAACGACTCATAAAGCACAATTCTCCCACACATATTTAACTATATGAGCATTTACTTGGAGGTAAATGTGAATGCATATTTAGAAAGAAGAAAACACTGCTTCTAATGTTATGAAGTTTTACGCTGTTAGGGACTGAATGGGAAAGGAAAGATGGTGACATTCATATTACGTGACACTGTCTCTAGTTTCTCACCTGTAAAATGGGAGTTCGCAATGAAGACAGCTACATAATAACTATTATTATCACGAGCAGTGAAGTGTTATTATGCACAGAGCTGCAGTTACAAACATTTAACAGAATAACAGGAACAAACTTATACTTTCTTGTCAGAAAGACTTTCAAAACAAAGGTTATATAGAATTTGCTAATCAAGCAAGGTTGCCCTGCAACTCCATTTTACGAGCCCACAATGCAGTGACACTGAATGTCCTAAAAGTAACAAAGAGGAGACAGGTTAAGGTGCATATAAACAAAATCTTAATTCTTTGACCATAAGCTAGACTCATTATACCATGAATATTCATACTTTATCCTTGCAGATGTGGTTCAGCGTTGCATTATTCATGTAACTTGGTAGTTGTTGGGACCATCAGAGATATTAAATAGTGAGTCAGGCATGCTTACTTGCACGGTTTAGTATTGTTTTTATGTTATGAGTTTTTCACATAATAACTTCTCTGAGATCCTCACACAAATGGAAATGGGATGATGATGCCAATTGTTTCTACATGAACTATTTACATCAAGTTGGCAAATCTGAATGTATCTCGTAAGTGTTTTAACTGCAAGTCTGAAACTTAAATTTCTGTAGCAAAGCTGTAAAACAACTAAATTATAACATCACAAACGAGCATTCAAAAGAGGTATAATTCACATAACTTCAAATCGAAGTGTCAATCTAGTGTAACTGGGAAATTCTTAGAGAACATTTCTGAAAGTCATGAAAATCTGCAATCATATTCCAGTTTTGTTGTTGCTGGAAATCTGAATCGAAGTGAAATATCAGAGATTCAACTTCCTCTGAAATGCAACAGAACGTTCACAATGAAAACACAAACCCAGTATGCTTTTTTGAATGCCGCTGTGTCAAAACAGAAATAAATCCTGCAAGAAAAAACTGTAGTATGTAACTAATGCTTGAAGTTGAACTGCAGCATTCAAGATAGAACATGGCTTCTGTCAGAAGAAAAAAAAAAAAAGCAGAAAAAAGAACAAGACTTTAGAGTACTGAGTAAGTGTGCAGATGCTCAATCACAAAATATGCTTAAGAGACAATGGATGACAGGATCCTTGCAGTTATCAGCACTACCACAGTGGCTGCAGAAGCTCGCTATCACCAAAACTGTTACTGTTTGAATACTAAAAGTGAAGAGGACAAAAATACCAGTAAAAATAGATTAATCTCAGAGACTTGGATTATGCAGAAAAAGAAAGCGCTGCAAATCAAGAACAGTTTGCATTCATCAGAAATAACCTCTGATAGCTAGGAGGTTATAACACTGACTGATCTCAGAGTAAGATTAGCTCTAGCTATTAAGTTGGAAGCTGGTAAATTAGAGATTCAACCAAGACACATATCCACCGTGAGCCAGAGGTTGAGTTTGGAGGAACACTAGATGTTCATCACGACAAAAGGAAAGCTCATTGTGTATCCAGACAACCTGTTGATGGATAAACTTGCCATAGATAATCTAGAACTAAAGGTGAAGTCAGAGCAGTGAAATCAAAAGTAGCAGATGTATCAGCAGCTTGAGTAGAGCATCCTTGAAGATGAGAGATGATACCAAAAGAACAAGGTGTGAATGAACTGTGGCTGCTCCACCCCCAGAATCAAGGCTCAATAAACATATCTGCTCCCATCACATGCTTTCCTCCTACAGTATTTAGGAGCCAAAAGAAGCTTAGCTACCAGAGCAAAGCAGCTAATAAATTCCTTTGACCAAGATTCAGTTTATGCAGTTACATGTGACAGAAGTCACCCAAAGCATATTTTGCCACTATATACTGTAACATCATTGGCAGACAAAAATGCACCTTACTTGAGTATTAAACAGATCAGGACTTGTATGTTTTAGTGAACACCCAAAGAGAATGACAAAGGCCTTTAGTTTCAGAAGCTAGGATCAAGTTCAGAGCAAAACAGGCTTTGATGTCAACATATATAGGTTACCATTTATACACTGCTCTGGTTTGGGATGATATTGGTAGACTTGAGCAGCAAAGAAACACTGCAAATGAGCAGCAAAGAAACACTGCATCACGTTAGTGAAACTCCTGGTAAGCCTCTCTTCAAAGGAGTATAGTCCCCAAAAAGCTGGAAGTCAATGCTGCAAAGCAGAGAACATTATCACAGAAGGGCCTTTGCCAGGCTACAATACTGGGCAAAAAGACCAGACCTGCTGCCTAGAAGATGCAAGAAGAGAATACCACAGCTTCAATGTATGAAGAAAAAGGAAAAGGTCTGGTCAGATCCTTGTTTGCTTACATACCAAAATAATCCCAAGCTGGACTGGGTTCAATTTTCTGGTCCACAATGATGTATCAGTGAGCCAAGGCAGTATAGGATACCTGCTCACTTTCAACTCCCCTGCAACAAAAATGTCTGCTGTCAGTTCATTTAAAAATATGTTAATTTGTTGCGCAAAGCAGAGAGTTGAGCATTAGAATGAGTACTGGCATAGTTATTAAGCCTTATTCCCTCAGTACAAGGTGGATCACTAAAAAAAACAAGGCAACTTTTTGTAGAGTAACAATTTAAAAAGC